GGTCCAAAAAAGGTTGAGAAACACTTTCTCACATTCCAACTCAAAGGACTCTCTGACACACTGTTTTTTTAAATCCTGGCTGAATGCTCTGCTGTTCAGGTAGTTGCACAATCTCTTTATTTTTAGTTTTTATATTTGAATTTTTTTTTTCTTTAAAATTCATTGTTTTTATTTTTGTGAGGTGACCTTATGTGTCCCAAAAGCACCTTTTAAATAAAATATATACTTATTATTATTAGAAATGCTTATACTGCTATAAACAAGGACGTTGCCATGGTTGTTGCTTGACGTGGTGGCAGACTTCCAGGCATTTATACTAATTTACATATGTATTTATGGGTGGCGTCAGGCAGACCAGCAGCTGCGCTCTATTTCCCGTAAATTGGGACGTATAAAGGAAAGATACACAGTTACATGCGGGCTCATGGCTTTATACATCCGAATGTTTTTGTGTGCCGCACTTTTCTAAATTTGTATATGAACAAATATTAGTGTGAAAACTGCACACTCTTTTATACACAAGGTCTCTGATGTTTTAAATTTTAAACTATTCCTGATTTATCTTTTCTGTAATAATTAGTTCCACATTTGATTGTCAAATTGTTTGCACTTTATATTTTTATGTTTGTTTTGTGATTGTTTTCCATCTGTCTCCCTTGGGAAAGAGGTCTTGATCTAATTGTGTTTTGACTGGTTAAATAAAAAATACATCAACATTTTATGTAAGAAAACAATATGGCTGGAAATAATATCATGTTTTCATGTTTAGGAGCCCTCAAGGATCAGATTGTTTTTCATCTGAGCACAGTGATGCGTCCTTTAGGAGCAGCAGGTCAAAGGAAATCGACCATGACTTTAATAGTGAACCTTCACTTACATCTGAGTGAGTTACTACTAGACACTGAAACCTACACTCTATAACACATATAAAGAGCTATAGAAATTTGAACCTGTTCTGATTATAGGATTAACAGATTACTGCATAAATACCTTATTATGTATTGCGGTTCATATAAATTCAGACAAGTTTTTCCTCTGACAATCTGAATTCTGTTTTCCATTGCAAATTTTAAACATATAGGAGTTTTAGAAAGATCCATGAAGCGCTCCTCCAAAGTCAGCAGGAGGTCATACGCCAACAGGGGGTCATATACCAACAGGAGGTCAAACACCAGCGGGAGGTCAAACGCCAGCGGGAGGTCAAACGCCAGCAAGAGGATTCCCTACACCAGCGAGAGGATTCCCTACGCCAGCGGGAGGATTCCCTACGCCAGCGGGAGGATTCCCTACGCCAGCGAGAGAACCAGGAGGCCCAGCGGAAGATAATAAATGCTGTGGGTGATGAGCAACATTTGAAGTCTGGAAAGACTTATTCATGTGGATCAGAAAGGTAAAATATTACTTAAAATACACTTCAGAAGTTTCTTTGAGAATCCATTTTTTATATCAGATTTCAGTTCATCTGACATCAGAATCTCCTAAAATGTATTCCTTCTTTCATATCCGATAACTCTTCTATTATAATATTCCCATTATATGTTGTATTAAATGTTGTAAATACATTAAATTATACGTTAATGATACATATACAAGATATTATTATTCATGTACTATATAGAAACATATTGCAAAATATGCAAATGATTGCCACTTTCCCTATATTGCAATATATTAACCAACAGTAGGGATGCTCCCATCAGGTTTTTTGCTGCCGATTTCAATTCCAGTCATCCATGAAGCAGATCTCTGCTAATCACCTGGATTGGCTGTTAATTTTTCACTTTTGGTATAAATGCTACTATGTGATCTGGCAAAATTAAAAAAAATATATCTGGCAATAAATTCACCTAATTTAGACATAAAATATTCAAAATACTTGCAGGCACAATACAGCAGCTATACAGTCAAAAGGACAACTGAAAAACCTGCAATCAGTAAAACATTATTTAACAGCAAGGTTCTTAATACCACAAATTATACCTAAGTCAAATAAATCTCATAACACTGCCTATGTCAAATAATGTCAAGAAAAAATGAAACATTCATTCAAAGTCAAATGCAGGTTGCATCAAAATAAACAATTCCGAGTTACTGAATCAAAACTTCCTGAGAGCAAAGCTAGGTGAATAATGGTGGTTCTTATTGGTTTGGTTCTGACCGAGTGAAGGCATTCTACAGATCACAGGGAGGAGACAGAGGAGATTGATTTTTTGATTATTATTTCATTTATTATCTATGTCATGTTAGGACATAGTGAAAGTTTTAATACATATGTAAAATCTTTTTTTTTTTTTTTTCGTTTAAGCTACCTACTGCAGCTTTAAGTAAATGTTCGGTGTGAAAGTTCACTGCAGGTGGAGCAGAAACGGCGCTATGTCTGTGAAATATTAGTACCAGTATTGCAGCACTGCAGTCCAATAGCGAAAGCAAAACCAGCATCTTTCACTGCTAGCTCGTTGACTTAGATTATTTTCAGGCAGTGTTGTGGTCAAGACCACCTAACCCGAGACCAAGACAAGACCAAGACCAGAGTGTATCGAGATCGAGACAAGACCAAGACTTTTAGGGTCTGACACCAAGTCAAGACCAAGACCGAGGAAAGTCGAGACCGAGTCAAGACCAAGACCAGCGCCCCGCGCTATATGACATGATAAAATGTGAAATATGATCAAAATTGCTTCTTAAACTGATCTGAAAAATCCATGCTCCCATAAAACGAACTAGATATTAAATACTTGATAAATTTTACCAATATTAAAAGCTATAACGGATTGTAGCATCTCTGTGCTACAATCCGTGGTGGTCTAGTGCCATCCCTAAAAGGATAACGCCCTGGGCATTTGCTTATATTGCTCATGTCAGAAACCACCACTCTCTGTACCATTTAACATAGCAATTAAGCCAATTCCCAGATAGCAAATAACGCTGAACTAAGAACACTGACCAAGGAGCAACAAGCAATAAGTAACTATGCACAAGGCACTCATCGTGACTGTTTTCACTCTCTCTCCCACTACATGAAGCCAGGTAGTCTGACACCATGGCAGACTACCAATACAGCTGCCACTTTGAACGAAAACAATCAAAGAGCAATGTGCATTCTCTGCATGCTCTTTCGTTCTTGTGTTTTAGTTATTTGTTAATTTAAATATCAATGTACATAATTAAATAAAATAATGATAGGTACAGCAGTGTATGCAGAGCATTACAAGAACAAAGAAGAGCGTTCTGTCAGGTCAGCATACGCTGTCAGATCGTCATACGCTTAGAACGAACTCACGGCTATATCTGTCAGACACGTCATTACCATATCATTTTATTTAATTAGCAACATAGAATCATGACGCAGATCATAATACACTTTATTAACACTTGTATGGCATCCTGACTTAGCAGTTAAGTAGGTTAATGAGTTTTACACAGGCGTGTGTTGTAGTTGACTGCAGCTGCAGCTAGACTCTGCTTTAAATACACTTTGAAACCATGACAACACACGTATATCTATATAGTTATCATTAAAAACAATTTAATGACTTATTTTCGTCATAACTTGCTGCTTATGGTGAACTGACAACTCCTCTGACGGTCGGACTTCTTAATGCGCATGCGCAGGCATGGTACTCACTGCATGTTTGCTATTCTGACAGCGTACGGTAATCTGATAGAACAACGGTGTTCTGTTAGATCAGCATACGTTGTCAGATAGTCATATGCTTAGCTCAGACATGTATACGCTGTCAGTACCATATGA